AACCTAAATATGGTTTTTGAGATTATCTTTTAAATTCTTAATTTTATCTGAGGACTATTGTTGCACAAATGCGAAGTTTACTAAGGTTATTTGTATATCAAATGGCAGGCGTTTTGATAGTTATCAATAGCCCTTTAGTTGACTTTAGTCTTCACAGAGAGGAAGAAACATCAAAGTGAAAAAAGATATAAAAGAGACAGACACAAAGGTGGAAAACAGGTGAGGTGATTACTGTGGAAGTAGTCAAATATGACATATTGTGGGGTGATGGTAATTTGAAGTGAGAAGTCAACTGCCGGTTAATAGACTTTTTGCCGTATGAGAATACGTTGCCCAGGGTACACCACGTGGAGGTAAGTGGTATTGCAGTTTGCTAAGATAAATATTTATGTTTATTTATATAAAATGGCAGGCGTCTTGATGGTTATCATTAGCCCTTTAGTTGACTTCAGGCTTCACAGAGGGGAAGGAACATCAACTTGCAAAAAGTCGAGAGGGGGAAGAGAGGAGTGTTTCAAAGATGTTAGAGACGAACACAAAGGTAGAACAAAGGTGAGGTGAGTACTGTGAAAATAGTCGAATATAGCATAGAGTGAGGTGATGATAGTTTGAAGCGAGAAGTCAACTGCCAGTTAATAGACTTTTTTGCCGTATGAATATACGTTGCCAGGGAGCACCACGTGGATGTAAGTCCATTGCACACCCCCTAAGGTAAATATTGTTTGCAAAATTACATGGAGAATTTCTTCTAGCAAGCTATTTGCACCTCAATGCTTATCTTATGCTTACTATTTAGCTGTCTACCTATCCTTACATATCTACATAAATGTTTATGAACACAACGTCCTGGTTTTTTGTGAAACTAATTTACTCCCCAGTTCATGGGTGTAGGGCTCATTTTCGAAAACTGATTTAATGCATTTAGTTCATGTTTCTGGCAGTGATTAAGATCCCTAATTCTATTTTCCTAATATTGCTCACTATGGAAGCATTGCGAAAGAATTGGGTCAAACCCAAGCAATCGCATTCTCAAACGGTAATATTTTCGATTTTGCATACCCAAGTTCTCCAGACACTTCAGTGAACATAACAGTAGGTTTTGAGTTAAAACAGTCGCCTTAACCAGTCGACAGAGATTTTGACATAGTTATGTAACCAATAGTCTAATCTTTATGGTAATGTAGGAGAAGGTGATTTTAAATGCCCATTTTGTGAAAGATTCAGTGGTACAACCATAATAATTATACCAGAGAATTCATACCGGATTCTTTGTGCTATATTTAGAAAATATTGGGTAACTGCCATAGTCACGTTGTTTTGATGGCTGGAGCGATTTGCTAAGAAATAAGTTATTCTCTTTCATGTCTAAGATGGGCTCTAGTCATCCATTGCCCTATAATTTGTGAAGCAGGTGCTAGCGGTGATATTTAAACGTAGCCTTCTATTCCAGGATAAGAGTTCGTGGCTCGATACCACGCATTTCGGTTATCATTCATTCAGTAAACAAATATATATATAACCCAATCGAATAGAAAATAAATTCGGAGAAAGCTTTTATAAGTGTTTGAGTGAACTTTTGCGTAATATGACAATACACCGTTTATAAAGCAATGAAGCTATTTTCAACGTTATTCAATATAAAATAAGCTACTTTCTAACTCATTTCTCAGACCCGATTTACTTAATGATCAATAACAATTTAAACATTTTTCTTCATTTAACTCGCTGTCCTCCTTCCACCACTGTTTGTGGGGAAGTTCAAGGAAGCCTGGAAAGGCAGCAGCCGGAGACACTAAACTATAGCAATTTCTAAAATGCAATTAAATTAATATTTTGAAAGAAATTCCCCAAAAATAAGTCGAAGAGGGTATGAACTGTAGTGAGAAAATTAGTTCACATCTTGATGATCTCAGACTTAAACCAGCCTAATCAATGAGTTTGTATGTTGGTACTAAAGTCTTGAAATCTAGTCTAGACAGGCATACTCCTACATCAGCCCAGTCGTCAATACAATTCATTTTACAAGTGTTCGCATCAAAAGTAGTAAAGCATCTTGGCTATGACTGCACTTCTTTCTTATCACAGTTTAAATCCAGTTCACCTGCTGCCCAGTGGTATCTAATGTTGATAATATAAATCAAAGCTGAAAAACCACACAAGCTTGTAACAGTATGGAAGATGCTTACTAACAATAAAATGAAAAAAAGAATATAATCAGTGCAAATTGTGGTATTTATATAAATTAAAGCTGGGATACTTTAAATTTGTGAATATTTCGCTCAATTATTTTGCTTATCACCAACAAGTGAACTAAAATGAAAAAAATGAAACGTTTTGAAATTGTGATGATTAAAAAAAGAAGAAAAAAGACAAAATTGAAGCTGAACTAACCTCTAACTATGCGCGACCACACTGTAGACGCTACAGAGTAGATCACTGTCAGCGTCTGTTGTAGTTTCCAAACAGTCGTCGCAATCTGAACTAGCATCTGTAAACGACTCCACCTCGATAGGTTTTATTTCCTCTGCGGTTTCTGAAAGCAACAAATTTGACACCTTTGAATCGCCCGCTTGAAAGATGATCTTCTTCTTAAGTGCCTAATATTTTTAGAACTTGAGGTTATCAAGCTCAAAGTAGTACTTGAAGTGCATACTCCTGCGGTGAATTAAAGTTCCTTGAAAAGAATCGTTATGTGCTTATACTACTTCTCTATAAAACTACGTCAGTACGCCCACACACTTAGGATTGTCTATTACTGCTACACTTCCTTCTCCTCGCCTCAGTCCCTCATCTCTCCCTCCATCCCCACCACTCCTCGTCGCTTTGCCTGATTTGCTATCGTGGATGTCCACTGCGTGCCAATAACCATTAGTTAAAATTGCTTTTTTTGGTTGTCAACACTCTCTGTAACGCCTACAATCTAATTGCGAACTAAAGGTTATATGCAACTGATAGGACCTAATTAATGATAACTTTGATAATCTCTAGTCATGAAATTCATCTAGTCAGTAGCTGACTAGAGAAATTTGATGATATTATAATAGTCACAAGTAGTACCAAGGTACTGTCGCACAGGGATACGCAACTCAGAGTTTCATCTTGGCGATCTATCCGTGAGTTCACAGTACATTCCAGTTTTACATTAATCGTCTTTTATGAACGGAATGAAACGATCGATCTCTTCGGTTTCAGGCATTTCGATCTCATCATTCTCGTCTTCCTTCACATGACCTCCGGGCCTGGATATGCTCCAAGAATCGATGGAATTACTCGGAAGATTAGTCAAAGTTTATAAGAGAGCCAATTTTGATTAAATTTCATTGTCCAGTTTTATGCGATTCATCAAAATATTACTAAAGATTCGAAAATAATCGCAAATCAATTATCGATTCAGGCGCACTTTAGTTCGACTCATAATCCCTCACCTATATTTACTATGAAGAGTAGTGAACATTTATTGATTGTGATTGTTATAAATGATGTGGATGACGTTTACATAAATCCTTTTTTACTGTTTGTATAAAACTGGTGGTTTCAATTTTTAATCATTTTTGTTAGTACATTTTTTTACCAATTACAATTATACTCCTATTCTTTTATTTAGTTAGAGAGCATTTTCTTCGTGGACAAAATTATCCATTTTTGGATAACCATGTGTATATCATGATATGCAACAATTAGGTAACCAAATAATCAATAAATAACTACCTTTTCAAACCTAAGAAGCCAAACTGAAAATGGTTTAGCTCCAATCAGAGTTCAGGCACAATAAGCAACTGGCGATATAATGTTAGTAGCATAAACTAGACTAACAGCAATAGGATATAGCCATGTTATGAAATGGAATCGAAAACTTGGAAACCCATTGAGCAAGATGTCCGTAGGAGAAACTGAAGTACTTTACCACCCCCTCCTACATTCGTAATTTAATTATGACCATTAATTCAAACAATTTCTAGAAGTAAACTTTTAAGTTTTACCTTCTTGGGTATCTTGATTAGCAGCTGGTGTTGTGGCTTCAGAGACGTCTGTTTCACAAACACTGCAACATCGCCTCACAGTGGATTCTAAGTCTCTCAAATACGGTGCATAGCTATCGTAGAAAGCACGAGTATCTTCAATCGTCCCTTGAGGGCTAGTCGGACTTGAGGTCCTCGCCATTTTTGAGGTACACATAAGTCCCTTATCCTCGTGTTGTTGGTCAGACTAATTAAAGAAGTTGAAACAGGGTAAAATGTTTTAAATCAAATTACTCTTTTTTAGTTAAAATTTTACCTCAGTGGCTGATGTACAAAGGGAGTCAAATGCGTTATAGCGACGGATTGTTATTGAGGAATCTTCATCCACTTTCTAGCAAGGAAAAAATAGCAGATATAAATAAATACTAAATCAATAATAAAGTATTTCTACAAATTTTATTAAATACCTCATCAAAACTGGGGTTGAAATCGCTATTTGGTAGATCCAAAAATGACTAAAACCGAATTTATAAATAATATCAACCACTGAGAAAATAAATAATGCACAATTTTTTTTAAATTGAATTTTCTACCTGTTGTGTTTTTGGTCGAGTACTCAAATTCTGTGAATCAATAGATGTCTGAAAACAAAGAGAGGTTATTTTGAAATCGTGACCTATCGAACTGCATACTTAAATACCGTGATGATAACTTACTATCTGCAAATGCAGAAGTCGAAACTCATCCAGAAGTGACAGTTTGGATGTGGAAATTGGTGCTAGGGAGGGAATCAGCCGAAGAACGGCCCTTTCTTGTTGCTCGCGGGTTTTGGAAACATTTGAATCCTCAGGTTTAATAAGCTTAGAATAAACCGGTTTCTCCGAAAATTCACTCTAAAAGAACATTGATTGTCACCTTTAATTTAATTATTTCATACTAAATATATACATGCTGTTTTACTTTACATTGACTATTGTTGGTGTTTCCTCCAAAGTATTGGTGTCACCTTTTCTCGTAATCACTTGGGTCGGCTTTCGTAGCTGAAAGGTCAAGATAATAATTATTTAAATAAATATATTTACTCCTAAATATATGTAATACAACTCTGAAATATACCGTCCTATCTTCTCTGATCGTTTCATGTTCACTCGAATCATTCTTAATCATCCGTCTAAGTTTCGACTACAATCAAATAAATACACTTAACAACACTGGTAATGTTTCAACTATTAAAATTTAAATTACAGATCATTTACTTTTGCTTTTGTTTTATTGTCGATAATGGAGGCGGTTGAAATATCGGAAAGATCGTTTTCAAGGAATTCGTAAAGACGATCCCTCAATTGCTGAAATTCAAATAGAAATTGGTTAAATTCTTGAAATATTGCGTTTAGTACCTCATTAAATGCATTTTTAAGTGAAACTTTACTGAATTGCTTAAATGCGATTCAAGGGAGGATATTGGCCGAGTTTGAACACTTGCAATCGGAATTTCGACATTGATCGAGTTCTACATTTTGACAAAATATTTGTAATATTATTCACTCAAAACCTTAATAAGGACATGTAGAACTCACATTTCCGGTGATATCTGACTGATGTTTCTTGTTTACCGACATTGAACTCATCGATTCATTAAAACCCGATTCAACAGAACTCGAGCACTGAGAACATTGACATTTGCAAATAAATTACAAGAAATAAATAAATCCTACCATTCTTTTGAGATAAGGTAGCTGGAATGGTAATTGTAATTTGTGGTTTTGATCAAGGTTTGGAGTCTGAGAAAAAAGGATGCTTTGAATGATTAAAAGAGCTATAGATAAGATTACACAAGCGACTCCATTTACCTCAGCAGTGTTCGTAGTAACAGTTCTGAATGAATTCACCGGAGGATCAAAGGAATTGTTATTGTGAATCTGTTCCGTAGAAATGAAAGAGGTTAAAGTAGAAAATCGAAATTTCAAGAAAATGTGGAAAACGTTACTTTTCTAGGACTTCAATAAAAAATAATACTTTCAGGATAACTAGAGAGCAATGAAGAGCTTGTCGAATATCCTCTAGTTGATTACTAATTTTCGAAAAAGATTGTGAATGGTAAAAATTTGTGATTTTTGATTAGAAATTGTGGTCCTTACATAGTGTTTTCATTATTCGGAGTAAAAGAATTCTCAATTTTTCTTTTCAAAATATAAATGGACGACACAAACCCCAATTGTTGAGTTGCCTTCCACTTTCAGCTGGGGAGCTCTCTGCCATTTGGTCGCGATTTGTGGAATTTCTTTGCGTCTCCTTAGCAAGGTTCCCTTCAGTGGCTAAAACAATTTTTTTTATTAATAAGAAGAATCACTGAAAATCTGGAAGGAAATTTTTCAGTCTTCAAATCTACCTCGGTTTCATTTTTAATTTCTCTCTTTTTTCTTTTACTACCACAAACAACAAATATAATATTAATTTAAAAAGTCACAAGTCATCTTTGACGCGGACTAAATACCAATTCAACTATTTGCGCGCATTCAAGTTTGCAATAAAGGCAGGCAACAAGTAGGTCTTCCTCGTTTCTTCTTGATTAAAAGTACCTGAATCAAACTCACGAGGGGGGGTGGGGAAGAGGGCGTAAAGGTGGTACATAATCAAAACTTACGGTCTCAGACACGCTGTCTTCTGATCGATATCGATTATCAGGTATGGGGATTCGGAGAGACGACCTTCGAGGAGATGCTCTAGTAGAAGGATTTTCGTCATTGTCAGAGTTTGAAGGCGATCGCGAAATGCCGAGAGAGTTTCTTTGTGAACGCTGCATGTAACGCAGGGCCGGGGACATCTGAACCCCGGGGGAATGGGAAATTGACCATCTTGCATGATTGGAACTTGTATACATACGAGATGGAGGCTAGCAACAAACAAGCAATCAAGGAATAAAAGTGAAATTTAAGATAAAAGTTAATTACGATAATTAATCTAAATACGTACAAGGTGGGCCCTTCCATTCATCGGGTTACTTGCCGCGATATGCGGACGTTCTGGTACCAATGTAGTTTCTGTTCGATTCTTTTGATTTGGAAGACCAGCCGAAATTTCCAGAGACGACAAAGGAGCTGAATCATCCAATGTAGCTGACATAGTTTCTGAACTAATACTGCAGGTTTCCATGGCAGCAATCCTGGCAGCTTTCGCCTCAAAAGCAGCTACCAAGTCGGACACTGAACAGGTGGCATAGGCCTCTTCGTCATCCTTAAAAAATGTCAACTAGTATTACTTAAAACAGTAGTAGTAGTAGTAGTATTATAATTGACATTCATTATAACTAACCTCGGTTTCAAGAAATTTGTTTTCTTGTTTTTCATGTACGGTTTGTACACTAGAAACAAACAGTTTTAAAGGATGATATTCCATACCCATTTCGTTTACGACTAAATGCTGTTGTAACGATGAAAATTTCATCATCAGAGTTTGTATTTTTTCCCAAATCCTCCAAGCTTTCGTCCGAGGTCTTTTAAAAGTAATGACGTTTAATTAAATAAATTTAAGTTATGTATAGTTATGCTGTAACTTGCTATGTTACCTTAACAAGTGAATGTGCTTTTTCTTCCTTCCGAGGCTTCTCGAGATCGCAAGACAAATTTAAATGCTTCTTGTCAGCCTTTCGAGACAATTTATCCTGAAACATATCTGGAATTATCTTCCAGCCGTTAAACACGCGTTTTGTTTTTGATTTGGGAGGAATCGGGGGAGGAACCTTTATGCCATCATTGCTTTTGCTTTGATTATTATAAGTATTGCACGCAAACCCCCCGTCACGACCACCATTAGAATAATGCATGGCGACCATGGAGCCATTTATATAATCACCACTTCCAAAACTTGGTTTTTTATTTAACATTATGGATTTGTGTCTCTTTGAAAAAACGGATTCAGGCCGAGAAGATTTTGTTGGAGGTTTTTCAATTTTCGAAAAATTTTCGGCATTATTCACTGGTTCCCGGTCACTTTCATCTTCACTAGCGTCTAAACTTCCCTCCTGTAATCGAATGCTTAGGGGCTCAATCAAAGGAGCGGATAATTTTCTGCACGACTGGTTATTGGCTAGTCCAAATGGTCCGCCAAAATCTTGTTGATAGGGATTGGTGCAAAAAAGGTTATTCCGCCTACGACTACCAGTTGAAAGAACAACCGATGTATCAGGCAAAAAAAGACGGAAACACCGACCAATTTCGTGACAGTCAGAATCCAAGTATTCCTGTTGCATCCAGCCTACAATTAAAGTAATTACAATAATAAAACATTAATCACAACTAATATAGAACTCCGAAATCGTCTTACAAATATCCCTGTAGGAGTGGGGACTTTGAAATTGACCGGCTATATTCATGCTTCGATTGTAATATTTGTAGACCTGGATTCCGTTATCACCCTAATTACAACATTTTAAAATAAATTTTAACGATAAGAGCATATATGTATTAGGTATTTAATTATATAAATATACTAAATGTTTACACGACCAGAGAGGAATAGAAATCGATTTCCGCGATAGTAGTTCATGATAACGCTTCCATAAGATTGATTACATCGTATGCGCTCCAGGGGACTTGAAGAATTTGTCTGAAGGTGGGAAGATGAATAGTTAAAGCCAGGTAATTGTAAAATTCGAATAAAATACTCAGTTAGTAACATACCAGATCCCAAACGGCAACCTCTTTACTTCCTTCCAATCCAAATCCTACCGTGACCACTGTTGAGTCATCTAAAAATACTGCCTTCCATGGTTTCGAACCAAGATGGCAGGGCATCAGGACCACGGGCTTCTTTTCACCCCTATCCACGTCAAACACGGCTAGCCGCTTATCCCGAGAGGCCACTGCCAGACGACCATTGTTTGACCAGCTGAGACTGTAGGCACCAGCAGTGCCCATGTGTACACTGTGTGCCCTGTCTGTCTCAGCATTCCAGACTATGACCTTACATTGGGGAAAATAATTAAACCTTACGTGCTTATTTTATCAGCAAAGAATAGTTTTAACGTTAAGTTTAACTCAGTAAAGTTCCATTTTGATTTTTAGTTGTGGGACATGTTATCGCTCTGTGCGTCATCGTATGCCTGCATGTCTCCTCGCCAGGATTGGGAGGTGCGACCGTCCAAACAGTGACCAATCATCAACCTCTGTTTAACCTAATCAGCCATCCTGATCATGAGTAGCTCCCTGCGTGTACACTTTATCCACAATATACGTGCTGAATAAACGTGCTCCGTGCTACACGTCTGTTTCCTTTATAGGTGAGCTATAGCTTAGCTAGTTCTGGGAGTCTAGCTAGATGTTGGAGAATCTGCCACAGAGATTTCTGAGTCAGTCAGGCTTTACTAAGGTAGCAATCCGCTACAAAGTAAGGATATTTGTTATAAAATACACACTTGCTAACATTCCTTCTGTGATGATGTATGAACTTGATGGATGGATCTGGATAACATTTTTTTAGTAAAACTTGATTATCCTAATGTGTGGAACCAG